CCCCCCCCCCCGGTTACCACTGTTTGTGTGTGAGGGGGCCAAAGTACACAGGTCAGGTTACCTTTCACGAAATGTAGTGTTGTAGAAAAAATGATTTTGGCAGAACGGTGTTCCTGACGAAAGAAAAGTGGTTATTAAACCACTCAAATATTGTGCCCGAGAAATTGGATTTTGAAATTAAGCCCATGTTTAGCCAATCTGAACAAAGTAAACTGCAAGCTACTTTAGGTGTAGAAGTGCATGATGTGGTAATCAGAGGCTTTCAGTAGTTAAGGATTCCCGTTTGTTTGTTTGTTTGTTTGTTTGTTTGTTTGTTTGTTTGTTTGTTTGTTTGTTTGTTTGTTTAACTTATGTGCCACCCACACTACCCAAAGGTCTCTGGGCGGTTTACAATAATCAAAATACAGTTTAAAAAAAAATAAAACAAGTAAAATATATACTCTAAAAATTGCCCTCAGGACCCACAGTTGATGCTATTTCAATTAAAAGCCTCCTGGAACAGGGAACCAGTGATGGGTTAGCTGAAATTTAGAGTTCAACCCTGGAAGGAAGATATTTCTGACTGCAGTTTGCGTGGTTTTATACCTCAGAACAGCCAGCTGTGAGACACTTCTATCTCTGTGTTTGTTTCTCAGGAAGTGTACCTCTTTGTTATGATAGTGCTGCTTAAATCTTCATTTTGATTGTTCCCAGCTAAAATACATGAGATTTTGCTCATTCAGCGGAGAACCCTTCACCTCTGCTAATGATTGCACTGCTCTCCCCTTCTCAGCTGGGGACATCAGATTTTGTCCCTTGCTACGCCCCTGCAAGGTAGTCTTGGCTGTGGTAGTGGGGGCAATGATGACTCCAAGGCTATTTTTTCAGCTTTGTGGTTGTGGGGCTGGGGGTGGGGGGCATCCTAGCGTTCCCACCTTAACTTAGCCCATGGCTCGAAGCCCTCCAGCGTGTGGTCTATCAGGCGTGAGCTGAAGCTGGCATAACCCTGAGCCCCAGGCCATCATCTTGAAGCAGCCTTTGGCCGGCCCATCTTGTCTGCCCGCACTGGTTCTGCAAAAAAATGAAAACCAGAAAACTCTACATTGCCCTTCTCTGAGGGAAGGAGGAGAAAAAAGAGGCCCTCCGAGTGATTACTGTAAGTGGCTGGAGAAGTATCAGAGGCGCTGAAACCCCAGCGTTCTGGATTCCAGGAAAATCGGGATGGTTTTGCTCTGACATCTCTTCATGGCCCTGCCCAGTTTGTTTTGCTTTTGTGTTTTTGAAAAGGCTGCTTTGGAGTCCATTAAGGACTTTGGGCTTCTCAAGAGATTGCTATGATGGACTGGACCGGACGGGCCCGCCCAGGGCTGGAGGGTTTGCCCACCTCCAAAGCGCCCGAGGCTGCTTTGTTAACCCTTTGCCTGCATTAGTTCCCCCCCTCTCTGCAAAGCGATTCCCTCCTCCTCACACCAAGTCTCAAGCTAGCAAGGGCTGAGGGGAAACGTGGGTCAGACGCCGCCGGTGCTTCAGGGCCAGTGGGCGAGCATTTCTTCGTCACACGAAGGCACAAAGCGTGGCAGAAAAGGAGACCTGGGACATGGCCGTGGTTCCGTCAAAGGCAGAGATGGACGCCCGAGAGTGGAACAATTGTGCAGACCTAGCAAAAGAAAAGGAAAAAGGCGGTCTGGCCTGACTCTGTCCCTCCTTCCGTCCTTTAAGGGAAGAGATTCAACCCCCAAAAGGGCTTGAGTAGCCCTCCCGATTTGTAGAGTGTGTGGCCGAGTCATTCTCTGCTGGTGAGGGAGGAAGGAAGGAAGCCAAACGGAGGGGGAGAATCGGCCGAGCACAGAAAGCTCCTTTCCAGGGGCACAACATGCAAAAACTGAGAGGGCTGAACATGCATTTATTTATTTTTTTCCTTGTAAAATAAGCAACAGGATTTGCTTTTTTAATTTGTCTGTGTGAAGAAGGGGGCCAGGAAAATAGGGGAAGGCTGTGAAGCCGGTGGGCGAGAGTTCGATTCCCCCACTGGGCCTCCTTCTCAGGGGCTGGGCTGGATGATCCAGCGGGTCCCTTCCAGCTCTGCAGTTCTAAGGTGATGATGATTACCTGGAGAGCTCCCCCCCCCCCGGGCTCCTGGACAGGGTCTGGACTCTAGAGATCCCGTAGGGCCCCTTCCAGCTCTGCAGTTCTGAGATGGTGGTGGTGGGGATGGTGAGATCAAGAATGCCAACTGTCTTCACTTTGGCAGCGAACTCTTCCAGCCCTGTGCAGTCTCCCTGGGCGGTTGGTGCGCCTGCGCACTGAGAGTGGCGACAGGTGGGGGGGAACTCACCTTGTTTGTGTTCAAAAAGGTGGCGCCGCCGCCTCCTGCAGCCCAGCGAGGTGGAGCGCTGGCTCCTCCTGGTGGCTGCAGCCCCTGCAGCAAGTCCTGCTCCCAAGCCTTACCTGGGAGGGGGGGACACACACCCTCCTTGATCCAGGGAGAGTCTCCTATTTCAGACCTCAGTTCCCCCGAATCCACCAGGCAGGCCGCATGGCCAAGCAACCCCTAACCGCTGGGCACATCTGCTCTTTCTTCCCCCTCTCGGCACAGTGACGTTTAAGGACTGCCCAGAGAGGAAGCTGGTCCCCTTCATTTCGGATGACTCGCGCTTCAACGTCCGCTTGGATGGCGCCGTGGTGGTCCAAAGGCCCGGGCAGCTCCGCCACGAACACCAGAGCTTCTTCATCCACGCCTGGGATCAGGCGGGCAGGAAACACTCCGCCAGGGTGACGCTACGGCTCCTGGAGCGCAGACTCGTCCACCGCCACTCCCAACAGCAGCAGCAGCAACAGAGACATGGGGTATGCAGACTTCTGTGCCGCCACTCCTCTCTCCGGCTCCCTCCTCAGCCCTGCTTGCCTCCCTGGGGGGCTCTCAAGGGTGGACGCAGTGTACAGACAGAGGCAACATACCTACAAGTAGCCAGGGAGTCCTGGCACCAGTGTGGGGTGGGTGGTGCCTGGCGCCCAGGCTTAAAAGCCACCTCGCCCCTCCAAATCAAATCTTTGGGTTCTCCCTCTTGCCCTGAGATTTGTCACCTTACCTGGAGACCCACAGAAGGAGAGCGAAGGTCTGGAGAGGTCATCCAGGGTGCCAAGGCCAGCAGAACCTCCAAGGCGCGGAGGGGTCCCAGACCGAACGCTCGGGGCTGCTCCTGCTTTGCCGAACCAGGCGTTGATGTCTTTTGGCCTTGACAGGAGCCGGATCACCGCGAGATCGCTAACCCGGAAGTGCTGACTTTCCCGAAATCTGCTCCTGGTCTGAAGAGGCGGAAGAGGGACTGGGTCATCCCGCCCATTGTTTGCTCAGAGAATGAGAAGGGCCCTTTCCCCAAGTTTCTGGTTCAGGTAAGACGAAGGTTGGGAGTTCGATTCCCCACTGCAGGTAAGAGTCGGCCTGTGTGGCCTTAAGCAGTCCGCTTCGGCGCACTCTCTTCTTGGAAAACCCTAAAAGGAGTCCCCATCGTCAGAAGTTACTTGACGGCTCACGGACCCTCAGCATCGAGCGTTTGGCCATTTAGCAGCTCGGTGGGACCTTTCCGCCAAAGTACGCCGTTTTATGAATACGTAGCCCTTCATCATCCCTGTGGAATTTGAGGTCTCCCCTGTGGTTTTGTGCATTTGTGGCCTGCCAGACTTAAACTCCCGTTCCTTCACCAAATTCCTTCTCTTTTTGTAACCTTGTCGGAAAACCTTAACAGTGTCCAGGCCACAAAACCGCCAGGTAGAAGGTGCCCCGGCCTGGCCTGGCTCCAGTAATCCTCTTGCTTTCTTGACTTCCTGGGCCACGGAGTCTCCTCCCTGAGGCTGGCTGGCCACCTGCCACGTGCTTTCTATCCCCCAGTGTGGAGAATCTGATGGAGGATTGGAAAGATGCCCTGGGG